CGGACGGATTAGACCATGCGGCATTCAGGCGCAGAGTGCGCCCGCTGGTGCCACGGACCTCGAGCGTGTCGCCCGTGCAGGTCTGCGGCGGGCCCAAAGCCACGTCGCCCGACCCCGTGCAGTCGATATAATCGACCACCTTGCGCTGGCCATCGCTGGTTACCTGCAGGCCCTGGGCCCGGGGGTCGATGCCCGTGTCGAGGATAGCCACCACGGTGCCACGGCCGTCATAGGTGGGGTGCTTGCGCACAAACTCGGCGGCCTGGGTGTCAGCGCGGGGCAGCAGCCCATGGGTGGGAAACTCTGTATGGGGAGAGGCGGAACTCGCGGCAGTGTGCATAGTGGTAACTGTGGGCTACAGGAGGGAAGGGAGTCGAGAAGGGAAAGGGGAGGGTGAGAGGCGGGCGCCCTGGCACTTGGTCAGCCATACGCACAGACGCTATGGGATCGAGGTGCCGTCTGCGCAAGGCATAACTGGCTCTGGCGGCAGGATCCCGCAGCATCACTGGCACATGACGCCCTGCATCGCTTGCCGTGCTGGTGCGGGGAGGCGCTCGGCCAAGTGTAACTGGCCTTACCTTTGTGCGGCGCTACCGAGGCGGGTCAGAAGCGATGCTGCAGAATAGTACAGAAGCCAGGGCAGCTGAGAAATAAAGAGGAAAGCAAGGACAGACAGACAGGCAGGGCAAAGCGGGCAGGTAAGGCGGAGGAGGGGGGCTATCAAGCCAGAGCCTTTTTTCCTTCTTTGTGCCACGGCGGCGGCCAAAGAGGGACACGCGGATTCCCAATTGCCCTTCTTCGCCCCCCAGAGACCCAACCAAGCAGGACAGCGATGAGTGGAGGCATCCCCCCCAGAGACCCAACCAAGCAGGACAAGCGATGAATGGAGGCCAAGTCAAGAGGCTATAAAATCTACACATGAAGGGAGATCCTCCCCCGGCGTGCGTGGCCGGGCCCGTTGCTCAGCACGCCAGGCCCAGGCCGACCTGCGAGCTGGCCGAACTGGCGCCGCCTGCCTTCCGTGTGCTGCCGGGCGTCGTCCCAAACAGCGACTCTTCGTCCAGCGCCGCACTGACTTCCGACATCAGCACCTTGAGCTTCTCCGGCTACAAATGCATCACTCCCAATCACCCATTAGGTCTCCGATCACCCATGCAGCTGCACCTGATAAACCCCCCCCACTACTTACATCCTTGGCCGCCGGCAAGCTGCCCCCTTGTACCGTCCCGATGCCCAGATGGCCCGTATGCTACCACCTTCAAGGAAAGTCACGTTGCCTTGTCAATCACCACAAAGGCTCACACACGCTGCAAATCCACAAACACCCACCGTCCATGACGTAGAAGCCTGTTCTTTGTGGGACGCCCCACGCCTGCTTACCACAAAGTTGCTTGGCGCCCCTATCATGGCTTTGGTTACGCCGCCCCGGCGGCTGCCGCTGCCACCGCTGGCTTGGCGCCGCCCGTAGCTGTACTGTCCGTCATCGTCCGACTCGCCAAAGCACGAGGAAAACAAACCCATTACCATGCCTGACTAAACAGGTTTCCGGGTGCGTGATATGAATAGTGCGTGTCGTCAGCGGTGGAAGGAAGGATAAAGGCAAGAGGGTGGTGTGGACGGCCGGACCGTTTACACAGGCAGGCAGGCAGGCAGGATGGAAGGAAGAAGGGAAAAGATAGTAAGGCAGGTAGCTAGAGACAAAAAAAAGAAGGTAACAGGCCCCGGGAAAAAATGCGTCGCAGAAAGACGAGGGAGAAGCTTGCCCGCCCACCCTGCTGCCTGATTGGCCCGCCCGCGCAAGCCCACGGCGGCGCTTCAAATAATAGAGCTGCCTAGGCCATGCCTGCCCACGCTGCCGCTAGCCGCTAGCCGCCACCCGCGCACCTGCCCATCTCAGGCCTGCGACAATGCCCGCCAGCGCGCCTTGTTCCCGCCCCCTTCCACCCACGTCCGAATCCAGATGCAACAATCCAAAACGCCAACACGCTCTCTGGCTCCCACAGGGATCCTACCCGGACCACCTGCCTGCCTGCCTGCCGCTGCTTATCCCACCTGTTCCTGGCAAAAAAAACATTAGCCGGGCAGGGCTTCCGGCAGTTGCAAAAGGGATGCCCCCTATCAGAATCGAACTGATGACCTTCTGTTTACGAGACAGACGCTCTGCCAACTGAGCCAAGTGGGCCGGGGTATGAGCTAGTCGCCCATTTTCAGGAGACAAAAAATAGCGTCTGTAGACAAGCCTTTTCTCCTCTTCGAACCGCGTTTTGCCTCACGAAGCGCGTGCAGTCAGTCCTCTGGCACCAAGGCAGAAGCAGTGGTGTCTCGGGCAATTCCACCAGGGTGCGATTAATGCGGGCCAGCGCTATTGTTCACGGCGCAGGATCGCTGATCCAGAGCACCACAGTCGACTGGGACACGGAGAACTGTGTGTTACAGAAACCAGCACATATTACCCGGAGTGGTGAGCAGCGGGTCACAGTGCAAATGAGCCAATGCAGCCGCCGAACAGTGGGGCTTTTCTGCGTTTCCTGAGATATCTGCTCCGCCCCCCATTGCTTGCCTCCCACTGACACCATACTTGGCGGAGCAGATCGTCGGGCAGCCTAGCGTATATGAATAAAAAGCCAGCCTGTGTCCACGTCGCCGTTGGGGAGCGAAGACACTTTACACAATAAACCCAGCGCTCGTCTCCTTTCTTTTCTCTCTACAAGATGCCCGACATAACGTAAGTGCAGTGTGGGTCTGCCTGCTTGATGCTATAGATCACCGTGTGGATCACTAATGTCTGGCAGTGTATTGTTGTTCCCTGGGTAGGCAGGCTGGTTGTATTGGCGATATGGCCAGGGCCCAGGACGGGCTGATCCAGAATGAGCTGAAGGAGATCGAGAACCTCGAGTTCTTGATGGACAACCTGAAGCTGTCCGAGCTGGGAAGCCTGGGCTACGCGCTGGTGGGGCTGCGCATAGTGCACATCATCCCGGAGAGTAAGAAGAGGGCAGCACTGGTCCTGGAAGCACCCGTCGAGGGAACGCTGTTGCCGCAGACTACGCTGTCTGCGGGTGATGTGGTCGAGGTTGTGCCGCCGGATGATGCGCTTGCGCAGCTAGCCGCGGCGAACCAGGCGGTGCGGAGGAAGAACCCGTGGTCGGGTGTGGTTAGCAGCATTACTACAACAAGGCTGACGCTTTCCATGAACAATATGCTGCCGGTTCCCCGGGCGTGGGACGGCAAGTGCTCGATAAAGGTGCTGCCGACCAGCATTCCGCTGGAGCGCATGCTTGGGGCGCTGACGCAGTTGAATCACTACAAGGGCAGGCGTCCTCACCTCCATTCAGTGCTATTCAGCGGCGCTGCGCCGAGGTTTAGGCCGGGAGCTCCCACTGACGAGCTTACCTTGTACGATGGCCGTATCAACGCCGAGCAAGGGCTGGCGGTCTGGCGGGCCCTGGATGCGTACGACATCTCGCTGGTTCACGGGCCTCCGGGGACGGGCAAGACGCAGACGTTGGTGGAGATCATTCGCCAGCTTGTTCGCCAGGGCCAGCGCGTGCTGGTGTGTGGCCCGTCCAACGTCTCTGTCGACAACATTGCCGAGCGCCTGGGCCAGTCGGGTGAGGTCCCAATTACCAGGGTGGGCCATCCGGCAAGGGTGGGCAAGGGAGCTCGCCAGTTTACTGCGGAGGCAAAGCTGGTCTACCCGGGCAGTGCTCTGGACGAGAAGCACCGCCAAGTACGGAAGCTTTTGAAGCAGGCCAAGAAGGCCAAGAAGCGCGAGGACTGGGATGTGGCCAATGGTCTCTACGCGCAGGTGAATATGATCCGCAAGGAGATCAAGGCCGAGACCATGGCTGCCAGCCGCTCTGTAGCAAAGCAGTCCCGCGTCATACTCTCGACGCTGTGCGGAGCGGGAGGCCCTCAGGTGAACCGACTGGACTTTGACGTCGTTGTCATTGACGAGGCGGCGCAGGCACTGGAGGCGGAGTGCTGGATTGCGGCGATCCAGGCGCCAAAGGTCATTCTGGCCGGCGACCACCACCAGCTGCCGCCCACGCTGACCAGCCCAAAGAACCGGCTGGCGAACGACGTAACTAGCAAGATGATGATGACGACGACCATGTTTGAGCGCGTCTACAACATGCTTGGATCCAAGGTCAGCACCATGCTCTCGACGCAGTACCGCATGCACGACGCCATTATGCGGCTGTCGTCGGAGCACCTGTACGACAACAAGCTGGTGGCCGATCCCACCGTCGCCGGCCACCTGCTGAGCGACCTTGAGCATGTCCAGCAGACCGAGGAAACCAGTGTGCCGCTGGTGTACATTGACACGGCGGGCGGGAAGAAAATGACCGAGTATAGCGAAAAGGCCACCTACGTCGACTCGGCAGCCCTGGATACACGCATGCGTGCCTCACGCAGCAAAGTCAACTATGGCGAGGGGAAGATGGTCCAAAAGTACGTCAAGCGTCTGCTCAAGGCCGGTGTGCAGGCCAAGGACATTGCCGTCATCTCGCCGTACAACGCCCAGGTGCGCCTGCTGCGGCTGATGTGCAGATGGAACCGGGGCCTGGAGATCGGCTCGGTCGACGGCTTCCAGGGTGGCGAGCGCGAGGTCGTGATCCTGTCGATGGTCCGCTCCAACGACCGCAGGGCCGTTGGCTTCCTCAATGACTACCGCCGCATCAACGTCGCCATCACCAGGGCCCGCCGCCACCTGTGCGTCATTGCCAACAGCGACACAGTTTCGAGCGGTGGCGAGTTCCTCGGCGCCCTCATCAACTACCTGCAAGACATGGCCGTCAAGCGCATGACCTGATCAACAACAAGCAAGTAGTATGGATCCATCTGACTTTCAGGCCATCATCATCACCAGTATCCCCGAAAGAAAACGCCCAGGTGCGGATTCGCAAAAGGACGACGAAAGCACCAGTGCGCATACCAGGATCAAAACCCACCCGCAGCCGCAGCAAAAAAAAAAAAAAAAAGACCAAAATTTCATTTGCCCCCTATCAGGATTGAACTGACGACCTTCTGTTTACAAGACAGATGCTCTAGCCACTGAGCTAAAAGGGCCAATCACGAGATGGTACTCCGCATTTGGTTGAAAAAGTTTTCCATGTATGTTCATGCCGTTTCCACCGCGGGCAGACCTGAACCTGATGATTTGCTTTGCGCCTTTTGCGGGGCTGCTGGGGACACCCAATGTGGTTTGGTGGTGTTTATGACGCTGGGTGTTACCGATCTTGAATCCTATTTGGGGGGGGGTCAACGTTGAGCTACTCGGGATCCGGCCCGGCAATGCACTGTGTTGGATAGCGGCTAGTTCAGGTCACTTGGTTTGGAAGGTCACAGCGCTTCTGATTAGGCCTTTGGGCGGAGAGCAACCAGATGAATAGTCAAATACCAGCACTTTCCCCAGACACAAAGAGGTCTACTGCTCGTGGCTGGGCTATAGCAAGTGTGTGGTCGCTTATAGCTAAACGGTGCTGACAGTGCTGTGCAGCCCACAGGGCGTCGGATCCAAGTGAAGGTCTAGCGGAAATACCCTACCTTCCAGCGCCACTAGATGACCCTTGTTCTCAAAAGAACATCACCTGCCATCCTAGAAGAGAGGGGGGGGGACATCACAATCTGAGCGAACGGTTGCCGAACCACGGGTTGTCGTCTGCAGTCTGCTGCCTGTAGTCGGAGGCTACGCAAACAGGCTCTTCGCTGGAGAGTGTCATGCAGCCGCTCTGCCATCGTCGCTGAGGGACTTGTGTTTGGATTAGAAACAGTAGACCGCCAAGGTGGATCCTCAACCACATTCTCAGATGGGTGGGTTTGCTGTGGTGTCTAATGCCGGGTATGCGCCTCGGCGCAGCGGCCACTGCACGCGCTTCGCTCGGCAAAACGCGGCTCGAAGAGCAGAGAACTCATCTACAGACATTATTTTTTGTTTCCTGAAATTGGGTGACTAGCCCATACTCCAGCCCACTTGGCTCAGTTGGCAGAGCGTCTGTCTCGTAAACAGAAGGTCATCAGTTCGATTCTGATAGGGGGCATCCCTTTTTGCAGGCACGGAACCTGGTCAATATTTTTTATCATCAGCCAAGCTAGAACTGGTGTTTTTATTTATTTATTGATAGTAATAGCTAGTGGGCTGAGCTCGTTTACTCCAGCTCGAGGCCCATCTGCCGGAACATCTCGTCGAGGTTGCCCTTGTTGTACTCGCCAATATCCTTGCGCTTGAGCTTCATGGCCGGCGTAAGGCGCTCGTTCTCGGGCGACCACAGCTCCGCATCGATGCGGATGGCAGCCAGCGTCTCCGACTTGCTCAGCGAGTTCTGCTTGGCCACCTGCTGGAGATCGGCGAGGACCGCCTGGATAAACTCCTGGCTGGTGGCCAGCTCCGACGGGTTGTTGTAGTCGACCCCGGCGCTCTCAGCCAGCTGCGTGATCTGGTTCTCGTCAATGTTGACCACCGCGCAAGGCTGCGACATGCGCGAGTCGGCAAACACACAGATGTTGTGGATAAACAACGAGTTCTTGTACGTCGACTCCAGGGCCTCGAGGGCAATGTACTCGCCGTTCGTCAGCTTGACCAGGTTCTTCTTGCGGTCGATGATGGTGAGCTGGCCTTGGCTCGTCCACTGGCCAATGTCGCCGGTCTTCAGCCAGCCGTCCTCCGTGACGGTCTGGCGCGTCAGCTCCTCGTTATCGAGATAGCCCTCAAACACCGACGGCCCCCGCACCCAGATCTCGCCCCTGCCATCGCTGGCAAAGTACTTGGCCTCAGGGACATCCACCAGCTTCATCTCGACCGACGGGCACGGTGCACCCACGTTGTTGAACGTAGGATCGTCAGGCAGCTGCACCGAAAGCAAGCCCGACGCCTCGGTCATACCAAAGCCCTGGATCATCGGACACAGAGCCGCGTTCATCAGCCTCTGGACGTTCTGGTTGATGGGCGCGCCGCCTGTAATGACAAACTTGAGCCGGCCGCCTGTGGCATCGCGCGTCTTCTTGAACACAATACTGTCCAGGAAATTGTGCGGCAAGCCGCGTGCACGCAGCCCATTCTTCAGCTCTACAGCATTGTAGAACAGCTTGCGTACAAGCCAGCTGCTCTTGTTGACCTGCTTGAGCATCCCCGCGCGGATCGTGTTCCACACCTGCGGAACTCCCATCATCACCATCGGACGCAGCTCCTTGATGTCGCCCTGGCACTCGCGCACGCTCTCGTCAGTCAGCGTGCGCGGCGTGCCGTAGCCGATGCGAATGCCCGAATACACGCAGTACACGTCGACAAAGAACGCCAGCACATGCGACAGCGGCAGGTACGACAGAATAATGTCCTGCTCATAGTCGATGAACGGCGCAATGAACTGGTGGATGCCGCCAGCGACCGCCATCACGCCCTGGTGGCGGATAAGGACGCCCTTTGGCTTGCCCGTACTACCACTAGTGTACATGACTAGAGCAATATCGTCGCCCTTGGGCACCTCACGCTCAACCGGGCTCTTCCTGCCCAGCTCGCGGACCTCGTCCATCGTGTGCACGGCAAACTTGGCCTTGACCTTGTCGATCGCCTCCTGGCAGCCGTCGGGCATGCCGTACTGGTCCTGGTAGTACACTACATGGCGGACCGTCTCGATGCTATCCATGACCCGCGCCAGAATGGGCATCTGGTCGGCCTTGAGGAAGGCTACGTCGACCTTGGCCTGGTTCATGGCATGCAGCAGGCCGCTCTCGCCCAGCGTGTCATACGCAGTAACAACCTGCATCGACTGCGAAAACGCCCCAAACGCGCATAGCTGCCACTCGCGTGACGTCGGCGCGTAGATCATGACGCGGCTCTTCGGCTCAATGCCCAGCCCGCGGAACCCCGCGCCCAGCTCCGTCGTGGCATCGACCACGTCGGTGTACGTCATCCACTTGTACTCGCCCAGCTTAAAGTAGCTCCACTTTTTGGTCACCGTCTCCATCTTCCCGTCGACCTTGTGCCGGACCTTCTTGTCCTCGGACACGGTGCCCAGGACGTCGCGCTTGCCCAGCAACGCCGTGTCCGGCCGGGTCTGCTGGCCGTGCAGCAGGGTCGAGTAGATATCGGTGATGCCGGGCTCGGCGTGGTCGATGAGCCGGTCCGCCGACGTGTGGAAGCGCCGCGTCGCCGTCTCGCCCTTGCCGCCCGTCTGCGGAACTGGCTTGGAGTACAGAACGGCCATAGGTAAGAATAGTTGTGTGCAAGTGGCAAGAGATATTGATGGAAAGGAAAGCGGGGACAAGAAACGTGAGGAGAGGGAGGTCTGGGCGGTTCGCCTTTATTAACCCGCCTTTGCCCAAAAGGGTCAGCCGACCTTCCTCCATCCTGCCTATTCGCTGTGGAGCGTCTGCGGAAGCTGCTCTCCTTGCTGTCGGACCCGGGAAAAGGCCGCTCGCAAGAAGTTCTGCCGACTCTTGCCACGTGGCGCTCCCGTGGTCTGTGCGCTGGGCAGCGCGGCGTCCTGCGGTGTCAGTGACACAAACAGCGCCAGAGGCACGAGCCAGACCCCAAAGAACATGAACGTGCACACTTGGTCGAACGGGCACTGCGGCGCCCTGATAAAGTAAAAGAACCACAAAAAGTGGTTGCTCACCGCCAACACGCAGCTGCTCAGAAACACCGGTCCGGTCAGCTGCACCAGCGGGAACCGGTCCAGGTTCATGGCGTACAGGTGGTTTGCTGCCACCGACACAATGGCACGCCACACGCTCAGCCCGTCCACGACAGCGGCGACATGCACTGCGTCGACTACCCACACTGTGAGCTGAATAAGCCGCCGCGCTTGCCGCGGATACTCCTCGACCCACTCCGAGATCACGTACAGCCCGCACGCCAAGGAGAACACGACAAACAGCAGGCCCAGCGCCCAGCTGGCCGACGAAAGCGCCCCCAGCAGCACTGCCATGCCTCAATTCAAAGGAACGAAAGAAGGGCAATTAGTAATTGTAAGAGAGGAGAGCGTCGCTCCCCCATACTCGTCCGCGCATGAGCTATGCTGTCTGTGCGCGTACGAACAATGCTGTCTGTGTGCACGCCCTCGTCTTTACCAGCGGTCTAGATTTTGGTCCAGGACTAGTCCACCCTCTCTGCATAAACAAGCATGCCTATCGGAAGGATGGCTCTCAGTTGTTGCCGCCGCATCCATACCTCTCGGCAACCGAGCTCTCTTGGCTCGTTTATGGACAGGCCATCCGGCAACTCCATGGGCGCCTACGAGTACGCAGCGTTGCTTTCGCAAAAGGAGCCACCAGAGCTGGAACGGATCCGCCGGGCTGCAATGTCTCAGGATGCATCAGAGGCCCAAAAGATGATATCGCCGCTCCAAGGCGCCTTCATGGCCAGTATCGTGCGCTCACAAAGACCCAAATATGTTCTTGAACTCGGCTGCTTTGTGGGCTATTCGGCACTCTGGCTTGCCCACGGCCTGCCCAAGCCCACAGACAGCGACAAGCCGCACCTGTGGACATGCGAACGTGACACCAAGGTCGCACAGCTGGCACAAGAGAATGTAGCTACGGCCGGGTACCAGGACACTATCACCGTACTTGCCAAGTCTGCCGACACAGTGCTGGAGGAATGGGATCCCACTAGCAAGCTCGACATGGTATTTATCGACGCAAACAAGTCGGCGTACAAGAGACACTACGACCTCATCTTGGACCGAGACCTGCTTCACGACCAGGGACTGATCATTGTTGACAACGTGCTGTTCCATGGCAAGGTCTTGGCCGCCGACAGCGAAAGGAAATCGAGAATCGCCGCCAAAATACAAGAGTTCAACAGCCACGTCGCCAATGATCCCCGTACAACCCAGGTACTGCTTCCGGTATTCGACGGCCTGCTCATGATACAAAAAGGCAGAGGGTGCTAATTAAGCAGTGCCTTCTTGTTCAGGTCGGACCATGCCTCCTCGTAGAACCCGTCAAACACATCTACAAGCCAGATACAATTAGTTTGTTTCCCCCCTCCCCACAGCAGTCTGGTGTGTGCTGCCCTATACTATTGTTTCCTGCAGCTTACCTTCGCCGGGGAGAGGCATTATCTGTGCCAGGTCGACATCAACATCTACACAATATATCACACAGATTTAGTATCGGCTGGCATTGCTGTCTTGATTATACTATTGGCAGCTCTGTGACTTGCCATCTGTCGGAAGCGGTGCAAACCACGATTTGTCGGCAGAGTACAGGAGCGCCGGCGTGGTCATCAGCGTATAGTTGTAGTGGCCGTCCTACGACAAAAAAAAGCAATCCCGTTCATAGCAGATACATTAGCACAACATACTGGCACTGCTACCATCAACTCAATACGCTTCACAAAAAAAAGAGGCTCCCTACAGTTTGCATGGTTCCTGGCTCGATAGACGGACTATAAACACGCAAACGACCTACTCTATAATATTCTTAAATAATTGTAGAGGTGTGATTTATTTATGGGGGAAGATCAAAGTGGACATTGCTCCCAGTGTAGCAGCAGGTTCTTGGCAGACCGCAGCCAACTTGTCACGCAACCCTTGGTGGCAATCGCCACGCTCTGCTTCTGCTTCTCCACTACAAACTGTGTGACGTCAGATAACAGTCCGTCGCTGGCATCGAGCCATTGCTCGTCAATCTGTGAGCGAGCGCATTTGTCGATCCAGGCGCGCAGCACGTTCATCGACTTTAGTGTCTCCTTGCGCAGCTGCACCAGCTGCAAGCCAATAGAGTGTGCCACTGGCAGCTTCTTTGCCAGCAGCGCTTGCTTCAGCGTCAGCACATAGCTGTACAGCTCGCTAGCCACGGCCACGTCTCTGATTACAGTCGACGAAAGCGCACCCAGTGTGCCAGCGTCAGGCGCGTCAAATTGGTCGGCATGCAGGTGGGCGCGCAGTGGGTCAAGGATCTTGTCGAGCTGGTCTTCAATGGAGGTCTCTGTCAGCGCCTGGGTATAAAGCACAGAAATATCGACGATTCCGCGGATAAGCACCGTGTCCTGGGCTGACAGCCCATCGTTGTCCTGCAGCGTCGCTGCCAGCGCCCT